GATTATGATCGGTGACCGATCGATCGGCACACCTCTAACAAGCAGACTATTTACTTTAAAATCCTTTTTATTGCAATAATATTAGCATGATAACCCCTCAGGTCAGACGGTTTTTCATATTTCCTGTCAGCCACTGGAATTTTTGGATGAGAGCCATTTTTCAAAATGGCCACCATTTTTGAACCTTTTAAAAGAATTATTGTCATAAAATGTTCCCCATCTTTTAATGAAGTTTTTGTCTCATGTTTTCCTCTTTGGTCGTCATGTTCACAAAACTTCAAAATGCCACAGAATCAGAAACTGAGGACTTTATTGTTAGCGAGCCTTAATGGTTAGCGTTAGCTTCTGATCATTTTTATGTGGTTAGCAGTTTAGTATTAGCAGAGCTAAGATTCTTGTTTATCAAATTAGTGAAGCTAACTTTTTGGTTAGCTGTGCCTAAACATGGTTTCTATAAGATTTGTATTCATTAACGATAAATATTGGCAAACTCAGTGCAAAAATAAATTATCCTTGATAAACATGGCAGCCATCTTGAATTTTTTCAGCCACTGACGTTTTTGGGGTTTTTTAATCATTAAAGTTCTTTTCCAAACAATAAAATCAGAGGAGCTGAATAAAAGCCGACAGTTTCAGGAGGAACACCTGGACCTCAGCTGAAGCTCCGCCCCTCTTTTGTCCCGGTCCGGTTCCGAGGCGGTTCTGATGGTTACCTGGTCAGTGAGGAACAGGTGCTTATCCACGGTGCCGAAGCGTCTGGCGATAGTCAGCAGCTCCTTCTTCTGATCGTCGTCTTTGGGCAGGTTGGCGAAGAACACCACCTTGCTGCCGTGGCCGACCACGTCCCTGGAGGGCCGGTCCGCCGCTGGGTCCGCGCCCCGGTGGGACTTCTGCACACAGAACAGGCGTGAGTCCGGTTCCGGCGGTTCCGGAAGTCCACCTGTCGGACGGCAGCGTTACCTCGATGACCATGAGCCTCTGGGACAGGTAGAAGGTGACGGGCTTCCCATACAGCTTGGTGGGATGCTGCTTGTAGAAGGCCACCATGTTGGCCGCCGCTTCGTGGCTCTCCATCTCCAGGAAGGCCTGAGGGGCGAAACGCAGCGCTGCCAACCGGGCCGGACCGGACCTGGCCGGACCGGATCCGACCGGACCGGGTCGGGGACCGGGACCAGTACCTTGTTGGACAGGATGAGGTGCTCCCGCAGGCGGCCGAACGTCTCGGTGAAGGCGAACAGCGTCTTGTTGCTCAGAGGTTTCCTGTCGTACTTCACCACCACCACCCTGCTGCGGAGCTGAGGACGACACCAGAACCGTCAGACGGAGCGGGAACAGAACCGGGTCGGCGGACGGAGATCCGACTCACCGTGTTCTGGCCCATGGGGAGTTCGGAGCGGCCGCGGCCTCCTGCAGACAAACAGAACCGGTCAGAACCAAGGAGACGGAACCAGACCAGCTTCCCGTCAGGACGTCTCACCCCAGCTGGAGGACATCCCGCCTAGCGGTCCGGAGGACATGGGCGACGGTCCCAGCAGGCCCGCAGACAGGTTGGGGCCGTCCCTGCGACCCAATGACAGCCAGATGTTACCAACTTGGACTAGGACACTGGGAGACTGGAGTCTCTCTGTGTGTGTGTGTGTGTCTCCTACCTCCTGCCAGGCTCCCAGTCTGGGTACCTGAAACAACATGACAGCCATCAGAGACCACCACAGCTCCCAGTTCCCCCTCTGAACCAGTCAGACTGCTCCAGACATCACCATGGCAACAGCATCACTGTGATAATGCTTTCTGTTTGAGAGTCGCTGCTGAGGGCCAATAGACGACATTTCTAATCTATTCATGCACCTTTTGAGAAATCAACAGGAGATATGAAGGACATTAAGAATAAAGTTATTAACAGCAGATTCTTAAAGGGCCAGAATGATGGATTTTCCAGCTACATAGTGTCAAATTACATCATAATCCAGTCACTATGTCACCTTCAGTTGTTATAAAATGTTTTATACATCAAATATGATTTAAAAAGAATTTGACTTCCTGATTTAACATATTCAAATTGTTCCTCCGTCTCTTTAAAAACTCCTGTTTCTCCTGAAGCTCCGCCTCCAGGAAGTCGTCCCAACATGACTCCTCTTTAACCCTTTAATGTTTTACCAGCATTGCTCCGAGCAGCAGCTCTTATAACGACCTCAGCAGGTGTTTGCCAATTGCTGCTGGCTAGTCTGGAGGAGCTGAGAGGAGGAGGAGCTTCACCTTGAAGGCGGGGCTAGGCCCACCAGGCGTTTAGCAGCTGAATGGTTGCCATGGAGATTAATGGACTTCTCAAGCATGAAAAAATCAGAGCAAAAAAACATGATGGAAAATCAAAAAGTTGGTTTTATGTAACACCGGCCCTTTAAACAACAATTTGACCTTC